AGGACTCGGACATCAAGAATCCGACATATATCTGTCCCTGGGCCAAATTCAGTACAAAGTGTGCACACTATCAGTGAAGAAGTATTTTTATTCTGACTCTGTGTCAGCGTGTTTTATTTCTTCACTGATAGTGTGCACAGTTTGTACTGAATTTGGCCCAGGGACAGATATATGTCGGATTCTTGATGTCCGAGTCCTAAACAGTAGTGTCCCCTGATGTCCCTAAATTAGTATAGAGCAGTGACATCACTTACATAGATGTGCTGCTGCTGCCTCTAACCCGCCCACAGCCTTGGCTGTGCACAGGACTTATAGACAGGAGGATGTCACATGACCACTGAAATTGATAAAAACTTAATTGGGGAAATTTGTTACATTTGAGCAGGCAGAATCTGGAGCAGCTGTGCATAGTAACCAATCAGCTTATATCTTCAGTTTTTTCAATTAAGTGTTGAAAATGAAGCTAATTGGCTACTATGAGCAACTGTTCCAGTTTTTATAAATTCCCCTCAATGTATTTGGGGGCCTATTTTTAAACGTTTCAAATGTAGGGTGCATACTATATTAATACAGAGTACCCTGCTAGATGCTTACAGTTTGACATTATGTCTGCTTAAATTATTAATTTAAAACTAATGAGAATTGTATGACTTAACTAATTGAAACAAATACTAAACATATTTGTTTTTTTGTTTGTCCAGCCCTAGGGAAACCTGTACTTACTTCTTTTCCACCCATTGCTTCAAACATTTTTTCTAGCTGGACCCGGAGCTGCTGAATGTTATTCATTAATATACATGGCTGCAGAGACATAAAAAGAATAGAAAAAAAGTGAATGTAAACCCCAAATCTTTCTTTAAGCATTTTTGAAATAATATCTCACTTTATGCAGTTTTCTTAATTACATTTAATTCATTACATGGAAATTCAGCCATGAACAACACTTCTTGTTTCAAGGTGAAAACATTTAGCTGCTGCCTCACAATTAGCAGCAGCATTGTCAGCCTCACATGTTAGCTCCTTACCTTGGCCTTTGAGCTGCCCATCAGGTCTATGAGATAGGTATCCCAGAAGCCAACTGAAACAGTGAATGTCGCAGGCTGACAATGCAGACGTTAATTGCAAGTCAGTGGCTTAGTGTTGGCAGCTTGAAACAGGAAGTGCTGTTAAGGGCAGGATCTCCAGGAAAGAGGCTTTGCAACAGATCCCAACAGAATCACAGAAAAACTATTTCCTCAAAACAACTACATATATACAGTGGCGCATGATGCAAATCATATTGAAAAATAGGTTTAGACATGTAAATCATTGTGAAATGCAGGTTAAATGATTGATTTGTTACATATACACAATGTAATTTATGTTTTCAGGCAGTTAGTTTAGACAATTTAAAAGAGTAATAAATAAATTCAAGCCATAATTAGATAGAGTTGTGATTGTGGGGAATGCTTTGTTTTATTGTTGTGTCCAGTAATTCCACTAAAGGACATTTTATCCTCGTTCTATGCCCAACTTGTAAATCAATGGCCTGTTATTTACAGTAATTATTAATATAATATCAATTAATCAACATATTGCTATGTAATAAAGCTGTAGAATAAAGCTGTAGAACTTGAAAACCAACACAATTTCAAGTGTCAGCGTCAAAAATATTGTGAAATAATGTTAGTTGCAGTGGCTTCCATGTAAAGCTATTTGAAGGGAAGAGAAACAATCCAAAATTTTCATCACATTACCACTTTCTCCTCTTTCTTCTCTTTGGAGCAGTGTGAAGCAAAGTCTTTGGAGATGATCTCTGCATACTGGAGAAGGACATTACTGATTGTCTAGAAAGAGGGAGTAAGGAAGAAGAATGAAACCCAGACAATTAAGATTATAGATAAAGAATAAAGGGCACATGACTGAACATGACTGCTTCAGGAAAAACTTTGACCTACACAAAAATTCCAAAAAATTAATAAAAAGACAAAATCCTTAAAAAGAAGTCTGTCTCTTTCTTCAGGGAAACTATTCTGTGACATAAATAAAGCATGAGCTTCTGTGCTTATACCTTGGCAAATCTACGCATATAATGTCCCACTATTTGAGGATCGGGGCATTCCAGCTTCTTAATGATCTCAAAGCTCTGGTTGAGCTGTGAGAAAACGTCTACTACAGAGCAGGAAAACAGTGCATGTTCTGAGGTTTGCTGGAACTGCAAGACAAAAACGTAGATCATATTAATCCTCAACAAACATTATCACGTTAATTCTTGGCAAGACAAGCAAAAATCATGCCCCCATTTTCCCCCTATAATCCTCACCTAATTATTTCTTCTGTCCCTGCTGAAAAGTAGACTTTCTTACCTGGTGCTTAGTGACAATTTCCTGTTGCTTCTGTTGCCGTTCTTATCCTATGTACCACCATGTAGTAACTTAGGTTAGCACAAGAGAGTTTAATTGTTCCAGTCAATCACAGAAGCAGCTCATATGATTTTTTTCTGTTATGATGTTACTTATGCTTAGTCCAAAACTGTACATCAAAGGTTTTGGGAAATTACAAAACCTTCACTGAATGTGGTAAAGCAGCAGAGGCAGTGTTGCTAACCCCAAATGTTTTCAAAAAATGAAAAGTTATGAACTTAAGTTTAGTAATATTTAAATAATAATATTTTTACAACTGAAATTGGCATTAGACCAACACTGTAACTGACTGATACTGAGATGTTTTACTTTATGTGTATCTTAAAGTAGAACCATGGCCTCCCAATAAAAATATGTGTTTGATCCTGCCAGTAAAGCCCACTGAATGCAGCTTCCTGTGATGGTGTTGCATTAATGTTGTACTGTTCCTAAACTGAGAGCTGAATTGCCACTATAGGCTATGCTTGCTTGCACTACAGGGGGATGAAAATTGTTGCAGGGGGCATGGCAATCAGCATTGTTCCTGATAATTTTCAAGCCTGTAGCTTACCCATCAGCACCTGGTCACACCTACTCTTGCCCACTGCTTTCCGGGTTGCCACTTTTGGCTGCAGTGTTTGGGAGGTGAAGCATATGAGACACACATGAAGGATGAAAAAAAGAAGGTAAAGGACGTTTTCTGTATACTTTATGAGACATCATCAGGTTGCCATGGTTTAAACAACTGGCAGACCAAACACGTAAAATAGATAATCTAGAAAACAGAGCTAGAAGGAGCAATTTTTGTATTTTTCTTTTTTTAGAGGGGAGAGGGCAGAGTGTTTGAATCCACCACCCTTTCTTACAAAATAGCTGAGGAAGACTTTGGACAAACAAAGCTTAAAGTGACATTAACCCTCAGATTTTTTTAACATAAACCAATACTGTAATGTGTACCTTACTGTAATCCATGGTAGTGTCCCTTCTCTTTGCTGCTCTTCCTTTTAAATCCTCATGTCTTCTCATGGTGGGGGAGAACTTCCCTTTGCAGCTGAGTGCCTCTTCTTGTAGTGCTGGCTCAGGTTGTGAACTTACACACAGACACCATGGGGTTGATTTACTAACCTTATAAACACACCACGAACATGTATACACGTCTGTAGTGTGTTCCCTCCCAGCATGATCTATGGGTGGAATCTAAACACCTTTGTAGTGTGTACACACCCAGCAGGTGTGTTGTGCATAGCCCTGCATGAATTTGCAAGGTGATGTTGTGTAAATTAGCTCTATGTTGTGTTGCTTGCGTTGATGAATGCAGGAATGTAAATGCATGAGCTAACCATTTTTGTCTAAACTGTGAAGCAGCATTATATATGCATCATGTGCATGATTTTTCCATATATGGCATTAGTGGAAATATGCTTTTAGAGACTTTTTGGTTGATAAATACGTTTTGCTGTGTAAAAATCACATGCACCTAGTGCGTGCGTGTGTTTAGGTTAGTAAATCACCCCCCATTGTATCCATCTCAGAGACAAGGCAGTCTGCTGCAAAACAGATGCCCAGCAGCAATTTATGAGATGTGTGGCCATATATGATGTAAGTATAAACAAAATTGGTCTTTGGTACATTTTAAACGTGAGTCAGGCTACTTAACACATTCAGCTACCTACACCTATGAGAAATAATTTTCAACTTTTGGAAGCACTAAACTGGGCTTCCCTCTAATTTTGCTGCTACTGAACCAATACTTCCTAAAGCACAGAAGATTTTAAGATAAAGGAGCTGGAAGAGGGGAATATACCTCTATGCTATTAACACCTTTGCAGTTCAATGTTCAAGCTAAATAATTTAGAACTAAGCCCAAATTATTACTATTGAATCTGATGGGGCCTTTTAATATTCTAAATACTTTTCCTCCTCAGGTTGCTCTTTGTCGTGGCTAATTTATACTGATGGAGTCCTACGAAGGCTTAAAAAATTGAATTTCAAGGTGGTTTTGTTTCTGTGGCATTGAAGCAACTCAAGATTGTCTTCATCTGCTCTCAGTGTTACAATTTCCCACTGTTGTCTCAACATTACTGGACTACCACCCACACTAACCTGTTTCAAAACTAGTTTATATTTACTAGTAGGTGTATTTACTATCAAAAAATGCGTGGACAGCTCTGGGAGTGGCTATAGACAGTTCATCTGAGACATTAGGCCTCTCAACTCTTTGCTGGGTCTTACTTCTGTAAATCTCTGAACAACTACACATGGTTTAACTGAAACAATTTAATACTGCATATATGAAAATCATTGTGTATGGGTCACCCAGGTTGCCAAGTACAGTTACCAGCTATGAAACAACAGTCATTTTAGATCCTTTTCATGATTTCAATAGGATTTTGTAATCGTGCTCAAAGCGTATTTTAGCAAATTGGGGTGTATGGGGTCTATTCACTAAGCTGCCGTAGGCAGCCGAGTGAATGACTGACCTGAAGTGAAGTGAGCCGAACACTGTTCGGCTATTCACTTCAGGCTGGTACGGTTGATTTCAGCCGTACATTGGCTGAAATCAGCCGTACATCGGCTTGCTTCACATGGCTTCGGGGTCGGCCGAACATGCTGAGCATGTTCGGCCGACC